TATTTGTCCAAGTTCTGGTCCTACATGACATATGAGTAAAATATTTGTCAAAAAAACAAAATAGCTGAACAAGTTCTTGTGAGAGAAAGTTACTGGAAAAATTGAGAGCAATTTGTTGGCAGCAAAAAGATAAAAAACTTAAGTGAAAGTTTCAACTGGTTTTGGTTAGCAGTTAAAAGTTATAGCAGTCAAAGTTACATAAGGGAGCTACATCAACTCGTGTCAATATCAGTTTTAGTGGTAAACCTCAGCTCAGACGGACTTTGAACAGAAAATGTTTAAATTTACAGAGTGCATTCAAATATAAAAATTTAATTATAGTCATAAAAAGCTTTAAAATTGGCTTTGATATATATTCAATAAATCTAAACGTGAATAAAATGTCTGCAAGCTCATAAGAATATCGACCAAAATATAAAATTTAAGCTATCACTTGAAACTTTTGCCGTTGGCCCCCTCAAAGTTTTCCCGAGACAATTTCCCAAATGCTATGCCCACGGCGAATGGCGTGTGTATGTGTGCGTGTTAAATGCTTTTGACCCAAAGTCAAAGTTAGAAAACTCGACAAGAATTTCAAATTGATTACTGTAATTTGCTGTGGGAACTTCTGTGGCCTAGACATTTTCGGCATTTAAATAAAGATTTGCAAACCAAACACGCCCAGAGCGTTAGCAACAAAACAAAATAAAAAGAAAAAATTCCTCGAATTGAGAGCAAGCAAACTTTTCAAAAACAGCAGCAAGACCAGACGCAAACAATTTTAAACCTTTGAGAAGCAAAGGTAGCCGTTTGCAAAGGAAAGTGAATGACCCTAGACGGAGGCTAGTCGGGAATCCCTTTGACATGGCCAGAATGCACTGCAATACTCACGACATCTTATTTAGTTAAGATATGTAACTTTTTTAGATAAGTTTTAATAGTCTGCAGCAATTCAAAACTGGATGGAAATGGTTGATAACATTATGCTCAGTTTGTGTTAAAGAGTGAAAATGTTCCATGAATAATACAAAGCTGTTTTTGAAATTGCTTTGATAATCTGTATAGGATGTCGGTATGTGCTAAGAACAAAGTGAATTTCAACAAATTGGTATTTAAAATTTTATAAGCACCCATAGGATAAATATATACAAATTCGTCTCATCACTGTTTAATAAATGGTATAGGATATTTGTGTGAGTGTGTGTATTTGTGTGCGTTTGCTAACATTTGTGTGCCCCGTAACGTATAATTAATATGTTTCGGTTAACCATAATTACTTGGCTCGACGATGTGGCGGTAGGTCCTAATAGTAAGGGGTTTTACATTATTAATCCCTAATCAATTTAGAGTAAGAAATTTTCGAGCATGAAATGGCATTCTATTTTGTTCTGATTAAGAAGAGTATTCTTTATAGGCTCGGACATGCCTCCTTCTGCTACATACTCTTTCAAACACTTTTTAAAAGGAGTATACCCTGTTTTACACAATGGGCACAGGGTATTCAAGAGAAGCTGAACTGACGTCAACTATTTCTAATCATAATAAAAATTATGACATGCACTTCGTTCCCACCAGCTTGTCATCTGTTCAAGGTATATAGCTAAAAGAAAATGGAAAATTGCACAACCAGAAGCAAATTAACAAAACACCACAAAAAATTCAGTTTGGCCATTGACTACTCGCAACTCTGGGCGTGTCAGAATTGAGGTTCACCGATATACAATTTTGGCTTGCAACGCTTGCACATGCTTTTATTTCAATATTAATAATTCATTTAATTATTTATTGGCCTTTGTTGAATTTTGCAGTTTCCACGGTCAGCGCAACGAGTGGAAATAAGTCCGCATTAGCGCAGCGAGCGTGATAAACATTTTGAAGTAATAAAACAAATGATTTCAAATTCTGCGTTTAATTAGTAAATTGTGTTTAGTTTTAACTTTATATTGTTGTTAGGAATTATGTTTTTTACATAAAACGTAATTGTTTGTTCAAAAAGTTTTTGATTTCCGTTGGTAATATTTAATTTGATGTAGCATAGTTTTCGGCACCACATGATAAATAAATGCATTGCAAACCGAGTGCTCAAATAACGGAAATATAACTTTATCGGGGTCCTGAAACTAACCAGGAAACTAGACAACTAAATCCCAAAAGCGATCAATGTCGAGTATATATATATACTGTACTTACCTTTAATTGGAGTACAGAGATTCCCTGATTGGATTGCATGCCGCGACATGTCAAAGGAGAAGGACATTTATGGCAAAAGCAGGCACTCCTCTCGAATAAGCAGCTTCATCAGCATTAGCAAACCAAAAATACTGTTCGAGCCTGCCTGAACAGCATTACCAAAACCGGAAAAGCCATCATCCTTAGGAACGTCATCATTCACCTCATTTGAGGACCAGGTTCACTTGATTGTGGGGCCATCGACGAGTGAAGCGGACCAGTTAACATTGCCAGCACTTCCGGTATTTGTATTCATGTCAACGTCCACAGAGGACTCGCCTCTGGTGTTGCCTGTGGTTAACAAGAGCAAAGCGGAAGCAACTGAAGCAGCCAATTTTGCTAAACCCAATGATTGGCAGTCTTTTGGATATTTGTTTTGCAGCAGTTTTGTCATCTCTGTTTAAGTGAAATTAAAAATTTACTATATAATACAATTTACTTAAATTTATTTACATTTATAAGCAAATTCAACGTTTTTTTTCTGTATAATTAACCGCAGAGTTGTAAAACAAATGAAGGTATGTCCATGTTTATGCGAATGACAGCTGTAAGTAGTTTTTCATGACAATGAACTGGGATTAATTTTTTTCAATTTATGCAAGCATATTATTTAATGCTTATATATTTAATAGCACAATTCATTGTATTTGTTTAAAATGAATTGCTGCACAGAACAAGTGCTTGTAGTTTTAAATTGTTTACTTTTCGCTTCATTGAATTGATAATTGCAAATGATTGCAATCGCTTCATTAATTATGTTGTACGTTCCTCTACTTATCACCTGCAAGTTTATGTATTATCCATATATTTAGTATTTTATAAGAATATTTACTTACAAATCGACAGCATAAGCTAGCATCTAAATCCCATGAAGAATATGAATAATGCCAAATATCATAAAACCTTGCAATCCCATTTGTATAACAATTTAATTATTGCCTGAATAAATATCGTACTTAGAGAAGGCGAACGCTCTAGCACTTAGGCTGGAGCATTTATAGAGCTTAAGTTGAATTTTCAGTAGAGCTATCCAATTAATTTACACTTGTAAGGCATGTCGAAGTCGTACTGCGCCCAAGTGGACTTGTCTAAAATAACTTGTCTGCTGTTCTAGCCAAGAATCCTCGCAGGATACGAATGCGACAAAGTCAATAGGCCAAGTAATTTTGTGCAAACACAAGCTGAATACAATTAAACAGGCCTGCAGATTGAATAAGGCATTTACATTTAACTAATTTGTAGATATATGTACTTTGCATATGTGTTATTTCGAATGTGCTCATTAGGCAAACACCTGGCTCTATGGCAGCTGAGCCCATCATTAGCAGCCGTCCAAGCACACGAACCACCTATTAATTTAGAATACGAGAATGGGCAGAAGGAACTTTGACAAAGGCTGGCAGAATATTTGTTACTTGGCATCCAATTGCATAACATTTATAAACACTTTACGTAACTTGCATTTACTTTTTTTCGTAACAACTCTTGAAACTTTGGAAATTACACGGATCCAAAATCCAACTGCGACCGAGAAACGTTTAAATCTAGGATGCAAAACGCATAAAGATTTGCTCTGACCCAGCGCAAAGCTTTCACGTTGTCAGCTCGTAAATGGATTTTTACGGCTTCCGGTAGAAATCAACAGCATTTCCTCTGGAAAGTGCACCAAATGTTGTCCGTTAACAGTCGCTTGACACGCATGCCGACATCCGAGACAGTCGAGTTAAATAGATAAAGCGAGTGAATTTGAATGCCTCGCTCCCACGGCCCAAACCTGTCATAAGCTAACTGACAGTAGCGTATAATTGGGTATCCATTTCTAGGCAAATACATTTTGTTTTCCGCTCTCCACAGCCCCGATTTGCCAAAGATAGTGATGCCAACCCTGTGCTAGTTATCTATTACCTGTCCGACTTGCCACTCTCTAGGATTTGATATGATGCCTAGAGTTTTATGTTGCATACTTTGGCCTTGGGGCTAGAATTGTAGCTCATTGGAAAAAATATTATTGAAATAAGAATGACAGTAACACGTAAGAAAAAAATTAAAATTAAGATAATTGAAATAATTTAAGATCACCTTATATTTCCAAAAACTGCGAGAAATAAAATTGTTTGCCTTTACCGAAATTTATTTTTTTTTTGCACTAAAATATTTTTTCAGACTTCAATAGAAAAATTCTCTGCCAATGCTAAAAAAGATTTGAATTATAAAAGGCTCTCTTCAACAAGGCTAAAGAAATCTAGTTTTGAAGAATCTAGTTATATACCTCGTTTTTTATACCCTGAACCCATTAAAAATGGGTATAAGGGCATATTGTATTTGTGCAAAATCCAAATGTATGTAAAAGGCAGAAGGAAGCATCTCCGACCCCATAAAGTATATATATTCTTGATCCGCATCAATAGCCGAGCCATGTCCTTCTGTCTGTCCGTCCGTCCGTCCGTCCGTATGTATGTATGCAAGGATCTCAGAACCTATAAGAGCTAGAGACTTGAAATTTTAGATGTAGGTGCTTCTAGCTCCCGCGCAGATCGAGTTTGTTTCCGATAATCGATAACTTACTCCGTTTCCAAGCAATCGATAAAAATCGATATCGTTATTGTTTTTTGGGCAATTTTGGTAAATAATAAGAGCTAGAGTCAACAAACTTGACATATAGCTTCGAAAATAGAATATATATATGCATTTGATGTTGGAAGAAGAGGGTTCAGGGTATCCCCTAGTCGGGAGCTCCCGACTAGAACCTCCTCCTTGTTTTATGCTTATGTTTGATGCATAAATTTGCAAAATTAACAACGCTTTTTCACATATATTTTGTTTAAATACGTATCTCTGCATTAAAACACGTCGAATTTCTACTTTAAAGACGGGAAATGGATCGACAAAGAAATACTTAAAATTTGTAGGAGAGAATCATACACTTAGTCGCGACTTAATGCCAATTGTACCAATGGCAGCACCTTAATGGACGATAGGTCGGCCAAAATGGCTTCGATGCTGTCAAGTGAAGCCACCTGCATTATGCTGTCCTTTCGAAAACTCAATATAATGATGGCAAAAAGTGGCAATATCTCCAGGCTATCAAAACCGAGTATCTGCAAAGTGACAAAGAAGTAAACGATTTCAAGACGAGCAGCTATTCAATAAAGCGCTTACCAAGTCCCACAATACTAGCAATTGATCTGGTGGCAAGTGACCCGAGAACCCGCGCATAAGCCATTTGAAAACTACACGTAGACTATAAACACAGAAAGCTTTTCAAATTGGAATTTACAAAATCGTATATGGCACTCACGGTTGTATCTGTAGCTCACGAAAGTGCGACCACAACTGTGGCTCGTATGTCTGTAACAGCTTCTCGAATAGCAGGCACAGGCTAACAATGCCCTGCGGATGCGTATTGATCGTGGTCAATCGGTGGCAATAGCGTATGTAAAAGGCCCGAAATGTATAATAAAGACACACCGGCGAATCATACAGGTAGCAAAATGGTGCCGCAAACATGCAGATGCCGTGAAAAGGCACCACGCCCGAGGGCGGCCCCTCATAGGTCTTGCCCTTCACCGGAAACGATTCATACTCCACACAGTTAGCAATTTCGGTGTCCCGCGAGAAGCATAACAGTACCTGGTAGAGCACATCTTCGAATACAAAATACTGGTCATCATTTGAAGCCGTCAGCTGTATATCCTTAAAGACGAGCTTATCAACAATATGATCGGTGGTCCATACGCTGTTACGCAGCTTCTGCCAATTCTCAATGTCCTGTTTAACCAAAAAATGAATTATTAGGGCAAGATAATACGACTGATATTGGAAATATATTTTTTTTTATAAAATATGCTGAAAGGGTCTATTTGATAGCAAGTTCTTGATGAAAATGATTTATACCAAGAATTATTTTAATTTAGAACTCACATAATCGTGCAGCTTGCTGCCCAGCACAGACGCCCAGAGGGCCCCACGATAGGGTGCCGGAGTGCAGCCCTTCTTTAAGTACTGCTGGCACATTGGGGCGTGTCTGCTGTCCAGGATACGCTGGCACTGCACCGCCAAGTCAGGCACACTGTAGGGATCGCCGCGCAGCAGATCCGCATAATGTGTTCGCAGTTCAAAGAGATTTTTAACGGGCAGCGCAATATGCGAAAATTCCCATTGCGGTATTTGGCTGTAAAATAAAGACGCGTTATGCTTAAGATAAGGAAAACCAGCTCAAAGTACATACTCGGAATTTTCATTGGGCCTAGTGGGTCCCTTTAGCGATAGTAAGACTTCCAACAAATCCTTGGGCGCATATACCGGACGATAATTAGCAAGATCTGCGCGATTCATTCATATAATTAAATGATGCACGAAAGCACTGTATACATAAAGACTTACCCATATTGTAATTGCTCAACTCATTCCACTTGGCCACAAAATCCTCGCGATCGGTGCTGATGCGCGGCTGGCCGTGCAGCGGAACCTTCAGCTCGCCGCACATTGCATTTAGGCTCTTCCGCACACGCCGATCCCATAGCACGCCGGCACGCTTTAGATAGCCCAGCGGATCGCTCTGTGCGGATTTCTAAGTGAAGAGTAAGTTAACATATTGTGCTCTTCGGCATGTCGCTCATCATAGCTTACCGTCGTTTGTCGGACATCTCCAACATCGAGTTTTTTCAAGCGACTGCGTACCAGATTGTAAATCATATTGCGAATTTCAGTCTCCAGACCCGCAGCCTTGATGGCATCCTCCAGCGTGTTGCGCATATCATTCTTGTCGACGCCGGGACTGGCAACGAGACGCTGCAATTCCTTATAGATGGGCTCATAGCATTTGGTATTCTTAATGGCTGTTATAACTTTTGCGGTCGTGTGATGTATGCTACTATCCTGTAGCTCCTCCATGCCTGCTTACTTCACAGGTGTGTTCTCTTAGCCTCTCTGCGTGGTTGTGCTGTTGCTGCTGCTCCTATAAAGCCGAAAACATTGGCGCGTTGAACAATCGCTTGATTTGTATCGATCAAACTTGCGTCGCTTGCTTTGATTTCCATTTATGTATGGAACACACAACACACGTACACGGCTCCGGGCCAGTTTATGAAGTCAAAACTTTTGAGCGCTTCTTAGTTACGGAATGCAACCACTTGTTTAGCAGCCTTATCGACGCAACGGACCCACCACTCGAGGCGCAGGTATTGGACAAGGCAATCCGCGCGTTCGTTGCAGAATAAATTCCAAACTTTAATTAAAGCTTTCAAGTCTTAAGAAATTTACACGTGACAGCTTTGTTATCGCTAAACAAATATTGATTACGAAAAGCATTTGGCATGGTATTGTTCATAGTTCTCTACACAGAACCATATTTAGTTTTTGTGTGCATATTCACGCTGGATATAATTACAATTATAGCGAACACAAAAAAAAAATGCTACTTCGTAGATATGTACGTCGAAGTTGGCTAGATCATATGGAACTATGGGTCAAAAGCCAATCATTCCTACAGAGTGATATGGAAGTGCGAGCACAGTGTAATTAATATATGCCAAGTTTAGTCAGAATATTTTGATAAACAAAACAGTTTTTCATACAAGAACTTAATTTTCCCCCGACGAGTCCTCTTACAACTTTATATGTACATATTTTACACACGTATGTACATGGTAAACGGCAAAAGAGTTCTATATTGAGAAGATTTTGCAAATAACTGTTGAACAGTTAACAGTGAAATTAAAAAATACCCCGTTTGGCCATGATATCTTGATGAACAAAAAAGTTTTCTATAGAATAGTTTTCGTAGAACGTGTGGAAAGGGTATTGAAGGCCGTTAACGCAATGTTATAAGATACAGGTTACGACTAAAGAAATTTAATAAAAAAAACAGCAGATCTTATCCCAAGAAAGCGGATAATATAAGAACTTCTCTATTCTCGACCGTATTGGATGCATGTGCATGTTTCTATGAGTTTCAAAAAAATTGTTTCGTTCTCGGTTTGTTTCGATGCCTCTAACACCTGACGTAAACTTTTACAGCCCCTTTGCTTTTAGCTTAATTTACCCCTTAATATTACCATGACATTTGCCATCAATATTAGCTTTGCGGTTGTTATATTATGTAATGCGTTCCGAATAAAGCAATTGCAGTAAATTGGAACGAAATTTTAAAGCCTGAGGAGGAAACCAGGCTAGGCGAAATATCACCTAAGCCAACTGTGTTTTAATAAAAATGTATGTTATTAGTGTTAATATTGTTAGTTTCTATTTTTTTTCATTTGAAAATATCAATATCAATCGCATTGCTGTTCTACTTTATGCTTAGCATGATGTCTTTGAGCGAGAAACCCTGATTATCAAGCTTGTTATTCGTTGCATCACTCGCATACGATTTTGCAGTCAGACTGCGATCCAAGTTCGCAAACTCCTTGCCCTCTTTTATGTCGGTATTTGTCAACATTCTAGCAACATAGTCACCCACATGTGTGCCTAGTCCGAAACCAATAATAAGCACTTCATTCGATAGCACCAGGTTATTACGCAATAGAACTCCCAAGTAATCTGCAATGCATAGACTCACTTGATCAGCATTATGCACCGACTCGGAAAAACAGGGATAAAAGACAAGTTTCGAGTAGTCAACGGAGATGATGTTGTTAGCGCTTATGGCCAGCAACCGCGCTCGGACGTCAGGAATGGGTGCGGTATTCAAATTACTCGCGAAGCTATGTAGCAGCAACGTAAGCATCCTTTTTGTATTGGCAGGAAAATCCTCCAAATTTGCTGGATTTAATAGACGTCCACTTAGGTTTTCATTGCTATAAAATTGGTAAATTAAATACGTTGCTTAATAGAAAAGACGACTTATCGCTTACTTATGGAGCACGAAAGAAATATTCGAATTTGGACACACATTTCCCAGCACCCGAAAGCAAGGGGGATATATCTTGGACTTCGGGCTGATCAGCGTTGAATTGGCGCTGGCTTCGAGAAAAAATTCAAAAGTAAAAGAACCTTGGGGAGAAAAAAAAACATTGAAAATTAGTTTTCTGTTTTAAAATTCATTTATGCTTTAAGTACCCAGAAAAAGCCAGAGTTTGATCATGCTGCTGACTTCTCTGCCAAAGGGATTGCAACTGAAAATCGTACCTTCAATCCGTGAGACTTTAAATTAAAATGTCGTTATATATGCGTGACTCCATCTATTAGTTAAGCTGTTTATATAATATATAACATATTTCCTGGTTTTATTTTCCAATCGTAATACACTGTGCTAAACATAACTAAGGTTCCGCAAAGGTATACGAAATACATTAAACTTAAAATTAATATTGATTTTCGGGTGAGAAGAGTTTCAACCTTTATTGCCCCGATGGTTCGAAATTCTCTTAGAGTGGTTTATGAGGACCCTATTAATTATGATTATAAGCCCGTATGCCATAAAAATATATGAACAAGAATAAAAAAATTTTCTAAAATCAATATATAAGCAATCAGGAAGACCAAATAGTACCATCCCAAGCCACTTTTTAGTTGTAAGGAATAAAATTAATAATTATATATCTCATTGATCGTTCCGAAGAGTCTATTATATTTAAAACACACACTCTTTGGAAATGTTAAAGCATAGCAAACTGCAACAATCTTCGGCACGACGGCAACTCATGCCAACTTTCTGGCAAAAATATTTCGTCCTTTGAAAACGTTCGACCTGCAAGTAGATAATAAGCTTGTCGATAGACTAATAATTTTATATACACAATACTTCTGTCCAATTTTTCAAGGGTTTTATCACTAAACCTTCCAGTATTTTATATCTCCATGAGTAACTTTCCCATCCTGTCGTCGACAGTTGATTACTTTTCATATTTGCAGAGATCGCCAAATACAGTACGAGTACTAATAAGAAAATACTCTTAGACCGTTTCATTTTCAATTTAATTTTCTACTGACTACAAGGCTACGTATATTTTTCGATGCTTTTATAAGCAGCTCTGCAGATTCATTAATTTTTCATCAGTAAACACATGTGAATTTACTTTAGATTTATTGTTATTAGTGCTATACAATTGGGCAATGGATTTTACTTAATTTTGTTGTGAGTCTGTAATAAGTGCGTACAAGCTTAACAGATTTAAAAGATCATTTTCTATATAATCACAATATGACCGATTATCAGGTACAATAAAATATATAAACACTTTTACTTTCATTTTATTTTACAAAAATTACTTTTATATTTTTGTTTAAAATTAAAAATAAAACATTATTGCACGCTACATGCTGCCGGAATTTTAAAACAATTGGGCTTAGAACAGTTATTTACTTTTTCAAAAACAGCTTTTATTTAAGCAGTTTTAGTTAAACAGACCTTGCGAACTAGCTATATAATGAATAATTATTGCCCCAAACATATGGTGCACATCACATTTGCTTCGGTATATAAAAGCATCTAAAAGTTATTAATACAGTTAGTATAAGACTTGACTCTAATATATGAAAAATGCAATCTATCAAAATTGTTGCTGTAGTCAGCCTGTTGCTGGTGCTTTTTAGAGTTGGGAATAGCGCAAATTATATTGGAAAAACAGGAAGGGAAAGATACCTTTCGAAGGCTTCTATTGCAAGCAATAAACCATTTTTTATGGATCGTTCTACGAACCTGACAAATGTACAGACTGAATAATATTGCAAATAATTTTCATTATATGATTATCATTTTATTACCCACAGACAGATCGTATATCTCTGATGGATAGATGCAAAGGCATTGGCGGCAAATGTCGCCTTGCCGAGGAGTGTTGCAGTCTTCAATGCGTGATGCCTTATGGAGAATGTGTGAATTATTAAACTCAATAAAGAAATAAAAACAAAACCGAATATGATCGAGGCATTTCGTTTTCATTCATTTATTCTCTGTTCTCAAAGAGATCGAGAATGAAGGGCTATCTTTGGCATGCCGATGATCTAATACCCTTGCAGACGCAACCTTGTCATAATGCACATAGTGCTTTGCCCGTATCTAAGAAGCGCACGGCAAATAGTTAATGCCCGGTTTCGTCAACATATCTTGATAAACAAAAAAGTTTTTTATACAATTAGTATACTAACTATACTACCTAGTTTTCGACCGATCGTTCCTATGGCAGCTATATGATATAGTGGTCCGATCTTAATAGGATATGCATCCATATATGAGTAGCATAGTAAAACTAATAAATGCCAAGTTTGGTCAAGATATCTAAATAAACAAAATGTTTTTCATACAATAACCTACTTTTCGACCGATCGTTCCTATGGCAGCTATATGATATGGTGGTCGGATCCAGCTGGTTCCGACATATGTACCGCGTGCAACAGAAAGAGGGAAACAGACAGACGGACAGAAGGACATGGCTATATACTTTATATATATATACTTTATGGGGCGGAGATGTCTCCTTCTATGCGTTACACATTTCACAATAAAAATATAATACCCTCTGCAAGAATATAAAAAGAGTACACACTATATGTATATTATATTTTTTTAATATAAATCAGATGAGATTTGACCGAGTTATTGGGGTAGGAAATTTTGATCAATGTCTACCTAGGGTATTTCAGGGTATCATTTTGCCATGAATTATGACCAAAAAAAATATTGGCAGACTTACATGATTCATGACTTAGATTCTTTGAAAATGAGTTGAAATGAGGCCGATCTGATAGTAAACAAAAAATGTTGCATACAAAAGTTTTTTGCGATGTTTCCCACATGCGATTGAAATCTTCCGAGTCCCTGTCTTAACGTGCACCTTCATTACTTAAGGTAACTACAGTGTAAATTTCAGCTTTCTAGCTCTTACGGTATGGGCCGTGCGTTAAAGTGTGCGCATGAAGCATTCACTACAAAAGTCATTTTAGCACTGGCAACTCAGAATGTTCAGCGAAGCACACCATTTTGAAGAATTTCAATTAAAGAATTTTGTAGATACATATTTGTATTGTACTGGAATTATCCATTAAGCTCTTGATTTAATAAACGTTATAAATTTCGGGTATCAATATAACACTTTATATTGACTTTGACTTTAATTATTTAATTATTATTTAATTATTTATTCACTTGCTTTATGCGCTCTTTTTAATCAACTCCAAAAGTGCACACACCTATTGTAAGTCTTCACACATTGCATCGAGCAGCACTCTTCGGCGTGGAAGCATTTTTCGTGAACATCTTTGCACTTATCTACCATTTGCTCGATTTGAAACTGTGATTGAAAGATAGACATACGATAATCAATTTTTGTACATATATCCCTAATATTGTTATATTCTGCCCATACCGCTGTTAAATTCTTTGAGGGACCCATTACTAAGTGTTGTAACACTTTATGCTTATTCGTCGCAGTCAAATGGTATTTTTTCCATTCTGTCAAGCCCATCGGAACAGTACCTGCTTCAATAAACATTAGCCAAAAGAAAATGCTTAGGAACGGCTGCATTTTATTTATGGCTTATTTTTCTGATTGATTGCAGCAGTTCTTTTAAAAATGCTTTTATAGGCAGTTCCAGAATACACATCATTAAGGACTAGGTCTGCGTTTATAGCTGGTGCAAGAAACCACATGTGAGTGTTGTTTCATTACATTATGGTTCGAGTACATATAATCAGCTTGTAAAACAATGCTTTTGGTTTGCTATTAGTTGATCAACTATAAGTTGTTCATAAAAATACACCTTCTTTTGCATAAACTATTTTCTTCCAAATTAACTTACATAATCCATTTTACATTTGTTACATTTTAGTGCCTTTGAAATGTATATATATAATAAAATAAGCTCGTAGTTTTTTTTTGCTGGATATGGCGATATGACAAGAATTAATATGGGAACTAAAATATATATTAGACATCATACATTGGCCGTATTTAATTTCATAAAATACAATGAAATGTTACTCCAAAGAAAATGTTCTGTTTCTAAATTTAAAACAATAATAAAATGATTAACCATTCTATTCTGATAGTTTAGTAAAGACCTTTACTGAATACAAGGTAATGTCTTCAATGAAATCAAAGATTAAATTTTAATCACATTCATTCATTCCATTGCATTTGCCTCCAGTCTTATTTGCCTCATGTCATAGTAAACACAGTACCTTCGCTTAATACATTGCAAACTGCAACAGTCCTCGGCCAATCGGCATCTTTTGCCAAGGGGCTTGCAATTATCCATATATTGCGTCCGCTCCGCCTGTAAAATTATATTAATTATTTCGTTTTATAATTAATAACGTAATACCTGTGTCATGGTTTTGGAGGGCTTAACAAGCATAAGTTCCAGTTGCTTATATCTAGGCATTTTTGCCTTTGTCGTTCTTAATTTCTGGACAAAATTCCTTTTTTCAGCTTTAACGAGCAACAACAGCCACAGGCCTAGTACCAGGCACATAATTCTTGGGGACTGTTGCATTTTGATTTTAGGGAACGTCAATCTCTACTGGCAGCACTGGTAAATTTTTAGGCTTTTATATAAAGATCTAAGATGTTGACGGGACTAAGAAAACACTTGTGGTTACAGTTGATTTATACAAATACTTGAAAACTGAATGAGTGGAAGTTGTTATCATGAGTGACTGGCAATTTTCAATTAACTTTTACAGCTAGTATGCTGAACATGACAAAGAAAAAGTTTCGTACCCTTATTTGTTTTAAAGCGTAGCCTCTGTTGTTCTGTGCCAGTTTTCTTCATTTTCCCGTTAATGTAAATATAATTTAAGCTAACAGTCTTGTAACTATACCTTATAACAAAGGCTTTCGCTTGGTAGAGATCACAAGGTACAGCACAATTCCAGTGTTCAATAAGGCAAACAAACCAAAAAATAAATTAATCTAATAGAATTCGAAGCTTAACTGAAGCTCACAAAATTATTAAACCAGAAAAAAAGAAGCAAATAAAATAATAGCGAGCAACAAAGAGTCCTACAATAATAATTTTATTGGCCATATGTTTTTCTCAGTAGGCTAAATGCAGAGAACACGAGCAGTCTATAAAATCACTAAGAGTCTACCTGGGTTGTCAGTGGAACATTTTTAAGCATTTACTTGTTCATATTAGCCCTGTGGATTAAGCTGTTTGGAATTGAAAACTGTTTTGAAAGTGCTATG